AGCCGCTTCGTGCTCTCGCAGCAGGCGCTGTCCTGCTTCCCGCACACGCGCCTTGGCAAGCTGGCCGTGGTGGTGGCTTCCTACCGCCGCCCTGGGGCCCTGGCCGCCGTGCCCAGCCCTCTGGAGCTTTGCGACGATGCCAACCCCGTGGACAACGAGTACTTCTTCGACCGCAGCTCGCAGGCGTTCCGCTATGTCCTGCACTACTACCGCACCGGCCGCCTGCATGTCATGGAGCAGCTGTGCGCGCTCTCCTTCCTGCAGGAGATCCAGTACTGGGGCATCGATGAGCTCAGCATCGATTCCTGCTGCAGGGACAGGTACCCCGGAGGCACGCGGCGGCTGGGCGGGGAGGCGGGCGCGGCAGAGAAAGAGAGGAAGGCACAGGTAGATTTGAGGCTTTACATAAGCTTCACTGGAGCCAGGCCTAGCAATAAGGTGTGGCCACTTCTGGGTTGACAGGTGGGGTGGAGGTGGGGGACTGGAAAGCGTCATGGCCAACTTTTGAATAGAACTTTTTGAATCTCTTTGTTCCCTTTTTTGAGTATGCTAATTTAACGTATAAGGCAAGGGACTTCAGGCCCACAATAAATATTTGGTGACTGAATAAATGAATCAGAAAAGCCATGGTCCAAAAGATGCATGCATAGGGATAAAAGATTTGGCACGCAGCATTATCATTTATCAAACCTAGAACACTGACTGTAAAACTTGAATGGAGAATTGTTTTAAATATAGAAGATAAAAGGTTGGTCCCTTGATTGAAAGATTGTGGAACTCTGAGGTTATCTTGCTATTATTACCATTTCTTCATGAATACATTTCCTTTACACACACAAAAAAGTTCCATCTGCCAAACATCTGTTCTTGTTACCAGAAAATGGGTAATAAAATGTATTAATCCAAAGTAGCTTTGCTATGTATAAACTTCTACTAAGAAAGTGTCATTTTAAAAATTATAATCCAGGCCGGTGGTGGTGGCTCACGCCTGTAATCCCAGCACTTTGGGAGGCCGAGGCGGGTGGATCACTTGAGGCGAAGACTTCGAGACCCCCCACTCCCAGGCAACATGGTGAAACCCTGTCTGTACTAAAAATACAAAAATTACCCGGGGTGGTGGCACACACCTGTAATCCCAGCTACTCAGGAGGCTAGAGCAGGAGAATCGCTTGAACCTGGCAAGTGGAGGCTACAGTGAGCTGAGATCACTCCACAGCACTCCAGCCTGGGCCACAGAGTGAGATTCCATCTCAAATAAAATAAAATAAAATAAAATAAAATAAAATAAAATAAAATAAAATAAAATAAAATAAAAAGATGAAAGATAATCATAATCCTAAGGGAGAAATTCTGAATACTGTGGATAAGACGCAACCTAACTAAAGTATGAATAGACATTTTTCTCCATTTCGTTGAATGAAAAGTCTGACCTCCCTGCCATGTTTAATTATCTTATACTTCTGTATTTTAATAAAGTTTGACTAATCACCAATTGTTTTCTCTACAAGATACTTCAGAAGAAAAGAGCTGAGTGAAACTTTAGACTTCAAGAAGGACACAGAAGACCAGGAAAGTCAACATGAGAGTGAACAGGACTTCTCCCAAGGACCTTGTCCCACTGTTCGCCAGAAGCTCTGGAATATCCTGGAGAAACCTGGATCTTCCACAGCTGCCCGTATCTTTGGGGTCATCTCTATTATCTTCGTGGTGGTGTCCATCATTAACATGGCCCTGATGTCAGCTGAGTTAAGCTGGCTGGACCTGCAGCTGCTGGAAATCCTGGAGTATGTGTGCATTAGCTGGTTCACCGGGGAATTTGTCCTCCGCTTCCTGTGTGTGCGGGACAGGTGTCGCTTCCTAAGAAAGGTGCCGAACATCATAGACCTCCTTGCCATCTTGCCCTTCTACATCACTCTTCTGGTAGAGAGCCTAAGTGGGAGCCAGACCACGCAGGAGCTGGAGAACGTTGGGCGCATTGTCCAGGTTTTGAGGCTGCTCAGAGCTCTGCGCATGCTAAAGCTGGGCAGACATTCCACAGGTATTCAGATTTCATTGATGACTTTTAATTTGCATTGCATGTCAGCATTCGTTATTTGACCACAGTACAAGGAAAGTAACGCTGAACTGATATTCAAAATTACCGACTCCCATACTTTACCCGATCATGACCTCTAAGGAGATACTGGGAAGATAAAACCTTGAAGTTGTTATCACAGGTGTAGAGAAGTGAGCTCTCACATACCTCCTCTCCATAAGAGAAATATTGAGAGAAAATTTGACCATTTGCTTACCTCAGTTTATTTGAAACCATTGCCCAGAAGATTTACAAAAATTAAAGGCACTCTGCCTCTTCAAGGTTCTAGACAAAACAGGCCTAAATGACACATAAAAAGATACACATAAATTATATATGATATATAGGGACATAAACCAATTTCTCTTCAGTATCCAAGAAGTGCTTGCCACATATACTCCTTGGCAGAAGGGAAAGTCAGCCCTTCAGAGCATTCTCTGGCCATGCAGAAAGGGAAATGACTAGGCGAAGGTGGCCTTTCCAAAATTTTCGAAGAAGCAATGAAAATATTTTGCTTTGGGAGAAAGCAAAATGAACTAATTAAATGCTTTATCTAGTATCTGAAGGTTTTCTTGTCCCTAACCTGGGATGTATGAGAGAGGGGAATACAGAAATCCCTTAGTTTTTTGTGTGTCATAGAGCCTTTGAAAATACAATTAAGATTTTCCTAGAAAAGTCTCCATATAATACACACACAAACACATAAGGTACGTGAAAATTATAATCAATATCAGTGAAAATCACAGGAACTGATTAAAAATGATTCTTGCATCCCCAACAGTAGTAGTTATCAGTGGCTGGCCCTGCAACTGTCAGACGTTTTGGAGTACATGAGTTTTCTTATGACATACCTTAATGAAAATAAGAATCCCCAGACAAGCTTGTTGAAATACAGCTTCTGGCTCCAACCCCCAGAAAGCTTGAGGCCGGATCTAGGAGCACACATTTTATAAATAATAAGTTCACCAATGACTTTGATGTCGGTGGTTCTTGGACAAAACCTTAAGAAACACTGAAGTATGATATCATATTAATTTTGTATATGTTTACACAAATACATATTAGCACAAACAAATTGACTACAGATTACTATCCCTATTTTATTTCCCTAGATATGTGCCCTGACTGACCACCTAAAAAAGGTTGATGGTAGTTGTCCTTCTAATAAATGTTGAGTGAAATTAACTTCTGATATGTTTTTCTTCAACATTTCTCTGGTAATTAGAACTTATTGTAATATAATTTTGGTAGTGTATTTTCCTAGCTAGTCTCACATACCAGGAATTTGATAATGGGGTTTCTAAGAACTTTTACAAGTACCACTCTTTGTTTTCTGACACAGATAATGGGATGCTTTCTTCAAGTATTTATAAACTCTTCACAAGACTCAATTTAAAAACACCCAGTAAAGACTACATTTTTTTCTAGAAGAAAGGAAAAGGAAAATAACAGTAATTTCCACCATGTCACCTCTTCAAAGATTTTCTCCATTCTAAAACATGTCTAAAGTTTTAGTAAACCCTTAATTATTAAAAATATATAACTAGGATATTTGACAATTTTTGCCTCAACATTACACTTATTAAAATGTAAACATAGATGACCTATTTCCCCATGTATTAATTATAAATAAAAATTGAGAGGTGTTATAGAATAATGGGTTTTTGGCCAGACAACTAGGTTTAAATCATAGCTCTGTAGCTTTCTACTAGATAAGCTATCTTTTCATGCCTCAGCCTCCTCATCTGTATAATGGCATAACAATTATCTTGTCCCTCTTACATCCTTTCTTTTGAAGATTCTCTGAGTTAATAGAGATAACATGCTAGAAATTCCACCCACTTTGTTTTCCTTTACAAAATTGTTTCGAACATTTGCTTTAAATTAAAACAGTGTTCCCAGACAAATGCTATGCATCTCCTCATGTGTTGTGAATTTATTTAAGGAACATAATTCCATGTAGACACATCAAGGCCAGTTCTTTATAAAGGTAAAGGTATTATAAAGGTATTCTGAAAAATATTCTTTTGAAGTTAAACTTCAAACTATTCAATGATCTTTAAAAATAGCTGGTTAATAATTCAAGAATATCTCAAACTTTGAAGAGCAAGATTCAAAATCATAAGAGTATGATTAGTATGGTAATGCATTTGAAATAGTTTCTAGTGAGTGAATAAAAACA